TACATATATACCAAATTTCAATTAACATTGAGGAGCTAAAATTGTGAGAGCTAATGCTTTAAAAACTACTCGCGACTTTTACAAAACTTGGAACTTGTACATAATTTGAGTCGTAGAATCGAAATATGGACAAAAAACGTATGTCATTTAAGAAAAGGTCCGATTTTGTATCAAAATGCGTAGGTTTGAACAATGCTATGCATAAATCTGATATACTATATGAAATGTCCTCTTTTTGAAACATGAAAAACGCAAGTTAAATTTTTTCCTTAATCGTCCCAGTAAAAAGTGAGATATAGAACTCTCCTCCCTTCCCCCTTTCTTTTCTTTTTTTTTTTTTTTTTTTTTTTTTTTTTTTTTTTTTTTTTTTTTTTGTGCTTGTGCATGTGTGAGTAAAGGTTCATTGTACGACAACCATTGCGGAATCGTTTCTTTTTGACGCCAAGATCGGCGCCAGGAAGGCATAATTTCAAGATTGCCGCTACACAAAACCACAATAAGAAGTCAAAGAATTGCACAAATTCTCTGCCCATGTACACATCAATATATTTTCACTTGAAAAAACACCAGAGAATTGCACAAACCAGGCATTGCGTACTGCATTAACTTTGTCTATCTACACATCGATCTATTTTTAGTTAAAAAAAAGTCAAGAAGCTAAAACAAAGTTAAAAACTATATCATGGTAACCAGTAGGGGTACCGTAGAATAAAGATTAGCCCATGTGTGTGTACAAGGTACGTGTGTAAGAAAATGGTTTCATTCCCTATAGCTTTTACATCAAACTACCAAAAATATCTGTTTTCCGTATTTAAGCTTTCCGCTTCCACATCTAGAGTTGAAAGGCATGGAAGCATGCTCTCATTTTCCTCATTCAGAAACCAGGGAAGACTCATAACAACCCCGCAAGTTATCGGCCCATCAGTTTGTTCTTAGTAAAATCTTAGAGAGAATTATTTATGAACGTTTCAAGGATTATCTTAGTGTATTTACTTCCAATCAGTATGGTTTCCGCAAGGAGCTTTCCACCACTACTCAGCTTGTGAGAATTACAGAATTTATCGGTAGTGCCTTGCACAACAAAATGACTATCGCCATTCTGTTGACCACGTCTGGAATACAGGACTTATCTACATACTCATCCAGATGGACTTCCCGAGAGGAATTATTCTAATGTTCCGGTCATTCCTACAAAATCGTACATTCTCAGTTCGTCAAGAGAATGACATCTCTGTTTCAAAAAATAGCTTCAGACGCGTCCCGCAACGAATTCCGCAACGAATGTTATTGGGCCAATTTTGTATTTTCTATACATAAATGACTTCCCTGATTTCAGAAACGACATTAATACCTTGCTCGCCTGTTATGCAGATGACACGGCGATTCCTATCAAGACGCCCAAATCATGCAACGGCCAAACTATAAGAGAATATCTCTATTATTGAGGGCTGATGTGCGAAACGGAAAACATGCATCCAGCCAGAAAAATCCCAAGTTCTACTGATACGCAAGTATCCTACGCAGGATAAAATCGCCAACAACATCATTCTTTTCGGACATCATGTTTCCAAAGTCAACCAGGCTGTTTACCTAGGAGTTATGTTAAACCGCTCACTCAGCTGATGTGTCAACGCACATCAGATGAGCTCGTAGCAAGGCCTGGGGAGTTGTCTTGAGACTATGCACCCTCCTTAAAGATTAACTGCTGACGCTAAATCGCAAAAGGCATATATAGCTTTCTGTTGCTCGGCCCATACTTACATATGCCTCTCCAACATGAAAAAATGTCAGCGAAAAGGATATTCAGTCTCTGCAGATAATACAGAATAAGATTCTCAGGATTATCACTGGAACCCCGTACTGCGTACGAAATAAAAATATTCACGAAGATCTCAAAGTTGAGCTCATCTCCGAGTTTCTGCACAACCTAAACTCAACATTTTATTACAAGGCCATCCGAAATATGCCAGCCTGCCTTTTAGACATTTTTGCCTAAGAAATACTCGACGAGGACAAAATATCAAGCCCTACGCAGCATTTCTTCACGAAAGTCAGAACATGCAGAGCCATGACATCACCACCAGACAGCGTTCTGCCTAGCCCGCATACTAGGAGTATTTCACTCAAATTAACTGTATTGAAAAGCATACTCAGGACTTTAATACTTTTCACGTTTGCCTAGTAGAATTCAAATGACTATTTTCTCTCTCCTGATTGGACTTCAGCTCAGTGAGTCTGCAGAGACAACGCGTCTCCTTGATGGTGAAACAATTATGAAGAGCCGTCATGTGCGAGGCTCTTAGTGGGGTTCCGTGATAAGCTCTGGTAAGAGCAGGATAAATTCCTGCTGAACACCAGAATACGCAACTAAGGCATCAAAGAATCTAGAATTGATTAGAGTTTAGGTAAAACTGGATAACCGAAAGTAGTATTTTACTTGAAGCCCATGGTAGTTTTTAAGGAAATACTATATCAGAATGTGATACAAAATGTTTCCTTTTTATGATTGAGTCTCTAATATTAGTAAGGAAAATATATTTTGTTTACAAACAGTTAGCCGGAAGTGGCGGAATCACGGAAATGGCGGAAAGTCACGTGTTCTGGCCACATAGGATTTTTTTAATTTTAATAAGTTGAATTATTAAAAGTGATACGTGTAATGCAAAATATATTGTCTTAAAAGATATTCATCAAAGATTCAGTAATGAAATAAAACCCGAGGTATAAATTCATTTACAAATTTTCTTATTTTATGGAAAGTATTTGAGCACTGACAGACCACAGCCAATGTAAGTTCGTGTTTCAAAAATTTAAAAAAAAAGTTTCAAACTCTTGAAACTCAGAACTCTCAAAAACATGCAACAAACAAATAATTTAATTTATACAAGTGTTTTGTGATAATGAAATTAGCAAATCAACACCCTTGTGTTTAGCGGGCTCTTTAGTCCGAAAAGGAGAATTCATAGCAGAAGATCGAAGGAAAAACCTAAATGGCTCAAGTGAGCAAACTAACCAAAGTGGAAAAACTTTCTCTAAAATACCGGTGGCTAGCAAAATTCAAGACACAAGAGAAGTACGGCAGAATAAAGCATAAAATTGTCAAAACAGTAACCTTTTGTTTGGTGTAGATTTTAATCAAAAATTAAAAATCTACTTCAAGCGCAATTCCTGTTGTTTTGATAAAGTTATGTTTTACTTTGGCGTGTTTCTCTCCTGTCTTAGTGAAAATGGGTTTAGCTGTTAGAAACTGTTACATAGTAAGGAAAGGTTTTTTGAGAAGTGTCATTGAAAAAGTAATTATCTTGATTTGTTTTCTGAGAAACTCTTCGGTTCCCTTATATATAAAAAAGGACTGAATTTGAGTTTAGTATATTAATTTCAAATGTAATTAAAATAAAACGCAAAATGTCTGTTTCTTATATGCACCATAATTCAGGAGCAACATTTAACAAATAATTTTTATTCATAATTGAAAATATATAATCTTTGGTTCTGCCAATCTTCAAAAACCATGATCTGCATACAATAAATGGATGCAGATGCTGAATGGAATTAGAATGAATCATGAATTATACTGCCTATCAAAAGTAATCTTAGTGCAACAAAAAATAATCTTGAGTTTTTCAGGATTCTCTCAAATGAACTGCAGTTAAGACATACACCTTGTAAGGGATTCTTTACTCTTCACCGCGTGCCTTCCTTGCGTATTTGAGAAGCTCAGAAAGTTAGCAATCGGAAGGTCCAGGGCTCGAATTCCGACATATTTCCATGTCCATGGACATATTTCCTGTGTCCTGCTCTGAAATAAGTGCCTGTATGACTTTTTAAACAACCAATGTTAAGTCCTCCATTCACATTTCTCAAATGCAGCTGAATTTGTTTTAAATTTGATGTGTTATTATTGTGTTAATCGTCATCAAATATTAATTATCATTTAAAAAGCATAAATTGTTTATATATTACATCCATCGTAAATTATATATCTCTGTTAGTTTATCTCAAAGACTGGAAATCTTCAAGGTAATTTTATTTACTTCATTGTGAATCTATTTCACGGAATTTTGATGATAAGGAAGGATGTGTATTTAATTCATGGAAAATCATTTACTTTTCTTAGGGAAAATAAAGTAATGCGTGGTATGCAAAACGATAAAAATTTCGTAACACAAGGAAGAGACGAAACAAAATCCAAAGCTAGAGCCGAATCGTGACAAAGCATTTGCACTTAAAGTAATTTTATTTTTACGTATTATTAATTGCATACGTTTTTAAATTCTGTTCGTGATATGTAAATCACGCTTACAGATAACTGAAGGTACTTAACCTACCTGATATTTGAGCAAGTATGTCAGCATTGTATGTTTAAAATACTTTTCCATATGACTTAAAATTTCTGCTCAATAATATGAGTAAACATATGAGCATAATATGAACACAAATACTTCTGCTTAGAATAGTATGTTCAACTGTTGTGAAGCTGTTCAGGCTTGTTCATATTATTCTGATGTATGATTATGTCTAGATATTATGTTTGAACAAGTGTGAAACACTGCAAAAATTCCGTTCCAATATTGAAAGGGTTCCAACGCTTGAACTTGCGAAAACATAATTTTCTGCATAATTTTATTAAACACATTGCATTACCATGAAAATTTTACGACTTTCTCTAGCAGCAGATTGCTAATTTTTTCTTTGTTTGTTGAACATAAATTATACATAATTTAATTTCATATATATATATATATAGAGAGAGAGAGAGAGAGAGGCCATAAATTCTTTTCCGTTTGAAAACTTTCTAAGAATAATATATTTTTAAAAAATAAACACGTTGAAGAAAAAGCAAAGTGAAAAACGAAAAACCGATACTTCTACTAACCTGCGTGCGCAAGTTGAAATAACGATGAGAAACATTCCCTACCCTCCCGTGCCTATATAAACAGCAGAAAGGCTGATGCAGTGGGTGACTTCGCAGTTTTCTGGGAAACCGCGCATTTTGGTCAACCATTCTTCTTTTTTAGCTCTTTTCACGTTCAGTGCTTATTAACCTCCAGTGAACATTATTATCAGAAATGATTTGGAGAGGAAAAGGACAAAAACCGTTGATGTGATTTTCCCAGCATTAGCTTTTCCCGCACGTGCGTTACTGATTTTCCCTAGCACGTGATGTCGTAGGGAAAATTCAGGGATTAAGACACAGATTTTTTCCCGTTCTGTAATTGCTTGCAGATAATTGAAGTAAAAGAAGCAAACAGAATTTTTCGCTTCATTCCTCTCTAGAATTTAGATAAAATTAGAGAAAAAAAACTAATATTCAAATAAATTTTTCCTCATGTCTGTATTATCAATAATAAGATATTGTCGAAGAACTAAAACAGTTTTTGCTGTGGTAATGCTCTTCGGTATAGCTAGAAAAGGTAAGAAATTTTATGTATATTGTTTTTAAATTCTACCACAAAGTAATAATTCATTGTTTCCGCCGCATACTGTGAATATGTAAATAACAATAAAATAATGCTTTAATTTTAGTTCAGTTTCAGTTGGTAGGTTATGTTTAATATTTTAGGTATGATGTTTATAGATACGGCTGTTTTGGGGCATTAAGTTGAAGGCAAAGTATGAGGAAGTTTAATGTGTTTTTCCAATAGAACTCATTTATTTATTGGCAAAATTTGTTTTTTATCTGTTTATCTGTTAATTCATATATATGAATTTAAAATATTCACGCATGTACAGTTTAGTGAAATTGCTAAAATGTAACTGATTTTTTATAAGGAAATTTCAGTTTTTTTTTTCGCTTATTTTTTCACTCAAAAAATTAGCTTTTTTTTTTCAGAATTTCCCTTACGCGGGAGTATATATATGTGTGTGTGGTTTGAAATTTGTATATCTGTTATAAGCGATAATAACACCAAATGTGGATTACGCACTTTGTTAAATTTATTTCAAGGAATAAACGGCTCGTTTTCGCTTGTGCTCAGTAAAGGAAAGGAAAATATGTTACCATATTTTGCAATGCAAATCTGAATCATTCTCTTTTCTTTATATACAAATATATATATATATATATATTAAAAATTTCGTGATATATATACAAATTTGATTGCTTATTTTATACAATTACAGAAATACATAATATTATATCTCAACAATTCTTACAAATCAATATACACTCCCCTAACGCATTGCTTTTTCTTATGCGCACATATATGCTATAAATATGTGTGACTGTGAACTATAAACGTGTGAAATGTAAACAAGTATAACATATTTTCTTATTCTGTATTCTTTTATAATTTGAAGACATAAGTATCATTTGAATCATAAATGAAAGCAAAAATGCCAACTATCTAAAACATTCTTAAAAGTTACTGTTGATTTGATGTAACAAAATTTCATTCACAACGGGTTATAGATGGTTGCAAAATTTGAAATGACCGAGTAAATGCTAGTGAACAACCTCTAAAAACTAGTAAACTTGAAAAAATAGTAACTGAAATTAAATTTTTTAAAAATGGTACAGAAAATACATCGAAAAATAATGGTGAATATAAACGGATTCTTAATTTTTATAGAATTTTTATATAACTGTTTTAATATGCATCCAATGTGTAGTGTAGGTGCGTACACAAATTCATGTTATATTGGTGGTTTTACTGGATATATCAGTAATGTATGAGAAAACGTCATGTTAATCATAACTACTGTTATGCGCACTTTTTAAATGTTTTCCTTTTCTTTTTTAGGGTATAGTTCATTACTGATGAATGCGATAAAGTATTGAACACAAACATGGTTCCGATCTTTCATTTGAAAGGCATAATTCATTCTGAAATAAGTTTTTTTAACTATGATTTTTCATGTTACGTATAACACATGTAAACTGATTCAAAATAAGGGATAAAAAATGTTGATGAGCTTAACTCTAAATTTAATTTTTGTCTGACAACAAAATTAGTGTGAAATCTTCTGTTAGTTTAATGATTCCAAGAAAACAGTATCCTTACACGTTTTAAGAACTCTCAGTTCTACTGTTTTTATGATTAAAACCAATTAATGCTAGACGTCGTTATTTTGACATTTGAGGTGATACGCACTGACTTTTCATATTCACTTGATCAATATCAGGCGAAGAATCTTTGATATCGGCGGTCCACCAGCGGCCGAGCGGTAAGGTCGCTGAACACTGGTAGTTCGGTACGAGGTCGAATCCCGCGAACGGGCTGGCTGAATAACCGTTTACGTGGCTTTTCCCATTTGTAACGTGTATACGAGCCAGTTTTCCTTAGAAAGTCCTCCACGAAGGCATCCCTCCCCTTAGGCAGATAGCCCTCGAGGCTTTGCCGTAATTAATAACCTAACCTAACCTAACCTTGATATCAGCGTCTTTTAAGTTTCTCTCAAAAGTTCTGGTCAAATCCTAAAATTAATGAAATGCCTTTTTTCCCCCCAAATACTCTGAAATAGACATATGTGTGATTTCATCATTTTCCTTTTTAACAACTTTAGAAGATCAAAATGTAGAAAAAAATTTAGAACGAAGGGTGGCTAATCTTTGGAATATGGTAACAGGTAGTTTGGCGACATTTTGGTAAGACGATAAAGGTTACTAGCTAGGACTTTAGCAATAATCTGAGAAGTACACAGTTCGAATCACAGATTATTTTGTCTCAGAGAAATGAGAGACATTTTCCGGAAAATTCCGATCGTGATTTTAGCTAATAAGCACTTAGGAACAATTTCGCTGCTACAGTGCAGAATCGCCCACTTATTTGTTTGGCGCTTTTACAAGAGAAAGAAGAATTGGATTTTTGTCAATTTTCTTTGACTTTTTAAGTGAAAATAAGTCGATGTGTACATGGATCAAGTCAAGAGTGTGCGCAATGCCATTTTCGTGCAATTCTGGATTTTTTTAAGTGAAAATAGGTCGACTTGCACATGAATACCGTGTATGTGCAATTCTTAAAAACGCAACAAGCAGTGGGCTATTTTGCACTTTCTCCCAATTTCGCACCTAATCTTGATTAAGCACTTTTGTTCCATAAAAGTTCTAGCATAAGGGTAATTCGGCTAGCAGATTGTTGACAAAAATGTTGAGGGAAAAAAAAAATGCCTTTACTTCGTGAAAACAAAATGGCGTCCAAAAAAATACTAGCAGGTTGCTGTAGCAAGGTTGGTCGCCAAAAAACTGCCAAGTTACCATAATCCGAAGATTCACCCGAAGGGTTTTTTAAACTGTCGACCGTGAAACTTGGCTACAGTTGAATTATGAAATAAATTTGGAAATCCCATCAAAGTTGTACTAGTCTTTCTTACTTAAAACTGAAGGTTTGGTTTGGTTCAATTTACTATGGTAAGGCACAGTATCTGAAACCCTGGTAGTTCCCACGTCGGAGCTATCAGCATTCATGCTCGGCTGCTGTTGGACTTCTGTAGGAACTGAGGTCTCTTTATTCAATAAACAATCAGTATTAGATAGCTTCGTTTTGGCGTTTTGTTAAAAGACTTTCGTTCATTTCTATTCTTTTGTTAGACGCGCCGATTATTCCGGAACTTGTATTTAGAGCGTTATGAGCAGAAACTTCTCGCTGGCAAGTATTCCAATGTTTTATTGTTTTTTCGGCCATATTCAATATACTATAACCGTGTCTAATAACACACATTTTGTATAATAGGATCCCATAATTTTGAAACTGATCCACTGCTTTTTTGTTTTACAGAACGCAGATTCCTGAGTTTTAATACCATTCTTTTATAAAATACAAAAAACATACAGCAATAATAATTAGCCTTGTTCATAAAAACAAAACGTGCTTTAGGCACAGTCAATCGACGTTATATCAAACGAAATTGCATGAGTTCAGACGAAGCGCAATGTCCCTACAACACATTTATCCATAGCTGGTGCTAAATTACGTTCTTTGGCGACAGTTTCACGATCGACGGTATAATATGTAAGTACCTAAATCTCAAGGAGTTTTATAAAATCAGCATTGTATCTTTAAGGGAAACATTACAATGTTCAGTCTGCACATACAAATAAAAGGGGTGGACGGTTCTATACCACTCATTCTACTGAGCCAATTAAAGAAATTTAACTTCCTTTTTTCATTTCTGGAAAGCATGACTTAGAGTAGGTATTAGATTTATATAAACCATTGTTCTCACTTAGGCATTCTGACACATAATCGTATTTTTCTGAAATTATATACAAATGTTTTTCCATATTTCGATTCTACCACTCAAATTATGCCAAAGTGCAAATTTGGTAAAATTCGCACTAGTAGTTTTTAAAAAGTAGCTCTCAAAATTTCAGCTCTTCAACGTTATTTGGGTTTGGTATATATTTATTAATATCTCTTTTATTAAACTTTATGATTCCCGCTTTCACAGTTCGAAATTTAGGTTCCATGTAAATAAAATTCGCAAATATTTTCCGATTTATTTTTTGAATTTATGTTTAGTAATTTTTATAAATTTCCGAAAAAAATTTTAATTACAACCTATAAAAATTTTATCATCCTCTTAAAAGTAAATGTATTTTTAAGTAAAGTTGCAAAAAATTAGCTTTTTTTTTTTCAGAATTTACCTTACGCGGGAGTATATATATGTGTGTGTGGTTTGAAATTTGTATATCTGTTATAAGCGATAATAATACCAAATGTGGATTACGCACTTTGTTAAATTTATTTCAAGGAAAAAACGGCTCTTTTTCGCTTGTGCTCAGTAAAGGGAAAGGAAAATATGTTACCATAAATTAAGAATTTCGCCATGTGAATTATTGTTGGTGCAAACTGAAAAAAGCGCGCCAAGATAAATTTTTAAATTTCTCTAAATTTCTCACCATATTTCACAAAATTTACTCTTTATGTATAATATGTGTAGTAGAATCGAATATGAAAAAACAATTGTTCTGTCTTTTCAGAAAACATTCTAGCACATGAAAACCGCAATTTAGATTTCGTCGATCGGCCCAGTAGAAGGGAGACAAGATTTGTCCAATTTTGTTTTCAGTAGAGGACATAGAATTGTTGTACTTCTGTAAAATTCATAAAATGAGCTAATTTCTGCAATGATGTTCTAACTTCTGATCGTTTACTATTATTTATGAACAAAAACATTTCTGGGCTTAAATTTCAGAAAAACTCAAATTTTGACTTATAATTTTTAAACTAAATTTCATTTATGTTCCAGGTAAGCAAAACTATGTTTCATGTCTGTAGCATTCAGACTAAATTAAACATTCAGAGTAAAATATTCCATTAAATTATCTGTATTACTGTGCTTGAATAACTTTTACGCATGTTAATGAAAATTACTCTCTAAATGTATGAAAACTCGAGGAAAATGACAAATATAATGTGCTCATAAACTTTTTTCTTTTCCTCAAGATTTTAGATTTTTTATTGAGAAATGG